TTTATTAATAAAGTTTATCATTAAAATATATATTTTACAAATATGAGTTAAACGTTACGACATGCAGCATAATACAATGATGGACGGAATGGTGTCCGGAGGTCAATTGGTTACTCTGGAGTTCGGCACCAAGTTAGAGGGGACGTATAGTCTTTATTTTCATGCACGCAGCCCCTGCGAACACACAACAAGCACAGAATAAGACACACAAACAACAAACACACAACAAAAGCACAAGCAGAAGGAGAAACTAAACTACTGTGTGACTACATTATAATTTTTATAATAAATTCTTAAGACATTATTTTTTAAACACAACTAAATTAATTGCAACATTAAAGTAATTAAAATGCCATAACTTTAATTTACATTTCTATAAATTATGTTTTAATTCTAAACAAAACTATTAATAAATAGACTGAAAAGTATTTTTATTAATTCATGCAATAAAAAGTTTAAAAGCATTTGTACGAAATCACACTTTTAGATTACAAAAAACGTACACCGAACGGGACATTGGTTTTTCTTACCGTAGTACAAAGTAAAAAAATTACGGATCCAATTACGGTATTAAGTACCAGCACTTTGGAATTATCAACCGCAAAATCCATTTATACCGTAAAATATTGTAACGTAATTTTTACAGTAATATTTATTTAGTTAGTTACAGTAATATTAAATAATACAGTAATATTAAAAAAATGCACTTAAAATGTTTTAAATTCATATTGCTTTGTTTTTGACCATGGAGAAACTCATTTTGTAAAGAAAACTATTTGCGTATTGTTTACATGATACAATCTGTGAAGCAAATTTATTTTAGATTTAAATACTTAACATATCTAGAAATCGGAAATGTAACTGATAGTGTTTCGTTCTATGGCCGCAATATCTGCAATCGTAATATCAACAAAATCCACTTTGAAAAAGAATCTCAATAAAAATTATCACACATTAATAGCTAGTTTTTCCCATATTATTCTTTAATTGCAAATTAATATTTTTGTGGAGTTTTTTTGCTATCTTTTTTTTCCTCTTTTCCTTTTAATCGTTCTGGTTGTAAAAACCTGTTGTAGCTTTTTTCTTTAATTTTGAAACAGTTCTTATACATTTTGCTTTGTTTATTTTTTTTGATAGATCGCACACTGAAGGGAAAAAGAGTATGGTCAAAACCACCAGGATATGGTAAAATTAAATTCCAGCTCCATGGAATTTCCAAAAAACACTATAGTTTCAATCGAAGCAATTTTGTTATTACTTTTGATAAATATGATTTTGATAGTAAATAAGATAAAATTTGGTAATTTTTTTTAACGAAACCTTAGAACTTTCGGTTATATATACATTTCAGTTACGAATTTTCGTTAAATATGTGGTGAAAAACTATAATTTTAAAAAACCATAATTTCCGGATAATAATAATAAAACCATAATAATCATTGAACAGAAAAATTACCAAATGAATGGTTCAAATACCGTATATTTTGATTTATTGCCTGAATTATGCTGATGTTTTTTTGCCAGAAATGTCATTATTATACAATGTGCTGTAATTTTATCAAATTCTTTTCTCTCTCCATGAATGATATTTTATATTCATCAATCCTTCATTCTTTGAGTTCAGAGGATACCGACTGTGTGATTATCATACTGTCAATTAAATTACACAAAGAAACATTGCTTCGATTTATTATCTTTCCGGAGATCTCTTGATCACCAACCGATTTTATAGCTTTACAATTAAACCGTAAAGGAAAACGCCGAAACTCTCACGTAACAAAACACATTAACAAGTATCTAATTTAATTAAATTCACACGATTGACTTAATTGAATGGGGCATGGATTTATGAAATTATATCTTATAAGTGTTTTAAATAAATATTGCAAGCTGCTTTTTTAGCTTGGGATAAAATGTATCTTGCTATGCATTTGTTTTTTTAGGCCAGAAACTAATTTTTTTTTTCATTTTAGTACGAGAAAAGGCAATTATATTTCAGGTATTTAGGTATAGGAATTAAGAGGTCAAATGATTAATTGTGACATGAAGGAAACTTTGAATACATAGAAATCGTCAAATCTAATGTCTAATTTAAATAATTTCACATAATTGATTTAATTGGGTGGGCGATGGATTTATCAGTTTTATATGTTCAAAATAAATATTATAAATTGCTTTTTTTTAAAATAATGATCATATGTATCTTGTTGTGCATTCATTATTCTTCGTAAAGATTAATTTTTATTTTTTGTTTGTTTCTATACGTGAAAACTATTTTTGTACATGCTAATTATTATGTTCGAGAAAATGCAATTTTATTTTGGGTATTTAGGTATTAGAATTAAAAGGTTGTTATAATAAATGGTTACATTTAGGAAGCCTAAAATGTATAGATATTGTCAATACTTATATCTAATTTAAATAAATTGATATAATTGATTTAATTGAATCGGAGATGATCTTATTAGATTTATAATTTATAAGTATTTTAAATAAATATTCTAAGCTGTTTTTTTAATTTGGAAAGTATGTATGTTGTTGTGCATTCATTTTTTTTTTTTTTTTTTATNTTTTTTTTTTTTTTTTTTTGTATGAATCAATTTTTTTATTTTTGTGCGAGGAAATGCAATTTTATTTTAAATATTTAGGCGTAGGAATTAAACGGCTGTAATTATAAATTTTTATATGAAGGAAACCCCAGACATACGGTAATGATCAAATATTTCGTAAAATACACGTCGGATTTTAAATCTGAAAATACACGAGTTAAATACTTCAAATATGCTTCCAAACTAGAACCAAAACGGAAATAACCGAATCAATTTAATCTTCGAATTAATTCTTAAATAAAGTGCAGCATGGACATAATTTGAACATTTCAAACAGCATCATCATACTTGATAAACTTTATTTAGGGATCTTACTCATATACGTTCTACTTTGTACAAAATCTACACTGTTAGAATTTTAATTTTAAAATTATGGTGAAATAACCCGCAACAGTCTATCCATCCAATTAAAGTTTAAGATAGGGGACAGCATTTACCTTGACTGTTTTGATATTTTTTTACAACTAGTATGGTTAAACTTTTTTTACCACTAGTATGGTTTACAACTAGCAAGGTTATAAAAACCATAAATACGAAACTATACGGTTTCTTAAACATTTACAAGTCGCATGGTTTCAAAATTAGAAAAAAGAAATTTAACTGGATATTGGAGATAGTTTAGCAGTTTTATGGTGCTGCTATCTATGCTGAAATGAGAATATCGTATTCTTATAATCCAGGATCACAAATTAAAGAGTGCAGTACATAGGAAACTCTTCATGTGTTGAAGAGATTGGTGGAAATTATATGGTGTCAACTCGGGGACTCGGAACCCCAATCCTTCGGTCATAAGATTGACAGATTAACCCTATGTGGACCTAGTTAGTGCAATAAAATTCTGGTTGTTTAAACGTATTAGGTAAAAAACAGTTAATAAACTGTTTTTCTCACATTTAGCAGTTTGAATACCATCTTGTTTATAGTTATTTGACTGTTTCGGTTGAAAATGGTAAATTAACAAATAATCTGTTATTTAACTACTTTTCCGGGTAATTATTAACAGTGTAGAATGCTATAAATGAAAACCACAACATCTATAAGACTAGGCTGTTTGATTCTGGATGCTATCACTTTTTTGCAGAAAAAGTTAACACATTATTAAATTTTGAATCGCGCACAATGCAGTCTCTAATCAAATAAATCTAATTTTTTAGATTTGAAATTATTACATATTATTTTAATCCAAGAAAACCCCAAGTAACTTGTATAGCATTTTGAAAACTATGTTCGCAATGTTGTTATCATAAAACTGCAAAATAAAAACATGAAATTGTTAAGATTCCATTTTCTAATTGTGGAAACAATGCTCTACCATCTATAGTTATCATATTCTCTAACCATATATATATAAATATAAATTTTTAAATTTTTTTTTTGTTGGGATAAAGGAAGGAGTTTGTAATTGATCAAAATAACCAAAATATATAAATCATTCAAATAACTTGCTGCAATTTATAAATTAACTAATTACCGCTGTTGGAACTATATAACATCTATATAATTTCATTCATCAATATAATTTTACTCATGACTCAAAATTTCCTGTATGAACACCTTACAGGACAAATCGGGGGTACCCTATGAGCTTGTTAATTATTTCCGATATAGGTCACCCCATGTGGACATGAAAAGTGGTTGGTTGTCTGTGCGATCTTAGATACATCGGACATATTAGACACGTTTTAAAATGCAGACTTAAGAAACACGGTATATATGTGCATTATCAAAGAGAATCCATTATCAAGAGAAGTAAGCACTTTCTGCACATCTTTAGAATCTTGAGCTTGAATTCACTTTTGACATTGTCGACTTTTTTAAACACCATACACATCAGCTCGTCTTGATGCCCTGGAATCTTGTTTTATTCATATGAATGCTGATTCCTTTGTTAACGACAGTAGTTCTTCACCTTCTCTCCAAAGCGAGCGGAAATACATTTTACCCTGAGTTGCCCCTCTCTGCTACAGTAGTTTTTCTTATTCTGTTTTTTCATCTTTACTTTTATTCTCTCTCGGCTACTGAGGTTCTTCTAGTTTTGTTTTTCGCCTTTATTTTTCCATTTTTCACTGGCAGCTTTATGCATTATATTTCAAATAACTTTTGATTTTTCACTTCTGGAAAGTCTTGAAAATAAGCGCATATTTTGGAGCGCTTGAAAAATGTTAACTGCTATTTCCAATCTGTATATTTTTGAAGCAAATGATTTATATTTTTAAAATCAAGTAGCATGTTTACCGCTTCAGTTTCTTGGGATTATTTATTTAAAGTATTGCATTGTTAGAGTCTCTCTTGCTGTTTTCATCTGAGTCTCTCTTGCTGTTTTCATCTTGCTGTAATCATCAGAGAAATGATCTAGTTGTTGGGGGGTTAAAAGTAAGAGAAAACACTTACTGAGTTGTGATGAGTCCTCCGATGATGCCTATCAAGGCTGCCAGTTATCTTGGTAACTTTATGTGATGGTGAAAATAGACCATAATTTGGAGAACACTTGAAATATCTGGAGAAAAAACAGAAAAATCAGAAACAGAAAAAAGAAGGATTTTACTGTCAAGTTATAAAATAATTTGTTATCAGCGTCAAACATATTTATGTATAAAATAAATAATTGTACATTAAAGACAATTATGGATCATGCTACTCCTTAGAATCCCAACCATTAACACTGGGGAGCGAAATTTTAGTTGCATTTTTACAAATATTCCATCTTGCCTGATTCTGATGTGGGGATTTCGAATCTGATATCAGTTTTGTCTCTTAAAGCTACAGACTTTTTTGAATGACATTTTAAAAATCTATAATAAATGTCGTCGTACGCTGCTGGGGCACTTCTCTTTTATGACATATTGAGAAGCACACAAAGAAACAGTTTATAATATGGAAGTACCACTGATATTTTCTGGGAAATGTGTTTCTATGCAGTTTCAATTCTGATTAAGATCCCTAACTCTCTTAGAAGTTTGTGTCAACATTTATGCAACTCCAGTGCTTCTGGCAAGATGGAAACCCAAATAACTCGGGGCAATTTTTACCGAGGTGCTTTGGTAACGATTTTGGCTAAGCTAACACAAAATATATGATAATATGTAATAAAACTTGTGGTAAAATTTGGTAGCTTTACAGTGATACCTTCGAACATGGCTTACAAGCCATTTATTTGGGTAAATTTATTTCTCGGTTTTGTATTTCTTACTAAATGTGTGGTAAAAGAACCTTAATTTTGAAAACTAAAATTTCCGTTAAACTGTTACCATACAAAAGGGAAAATTACTAAATGAACGATTTAACTATCATATATTTCGGTTTTATTTACTAAAATTATGGTTTATTTATCAGAAATGTCATTATCGTACAGTACGGTAATTTAACAACAATATTTTTCCTCCGTGTACCAAAAACAAAAAACCTGTCTAAAATTAAAGAATATTAATGCACCCATTTATTCATAAAGCATAGCTTTTATTTCACACAAAATCGTAAACTCTAACATAAATTTATATTCATAAATTTATGTTAGAGTTTACGATTTTGTGTGAAATAAAAGCTATGCTTTATGAGTAAATGGGTGCATTAATATTCTTTAATTTATGATAATATGTGATAATAATGATTCATTCGAAATGATTCATTCGAATCATTTTAATATTATATCGTGATACAGCAATCAAATACCATTTATACACACACCATGATGTTGGATTTATGATTTTCCGATTTTGAATTAAGCATAGCCATAAAAAATATTTCTTGTCTTTTAAAAGCAATATCTAAGTCCGTTAATAAAAAAAATCGTGAAATTTTTCGTTACAACAAAAATATTATTTGAGTCATAAACGGATGAGAGTTCCTATTTATGATGAGTTTTAAACCTCAATTTCCGGTCTGTTTCAAGGCCCATTTCGAATTTTAGCACACCTCATTGTCAAAACAATGAAACTCTTCAGAATTCGGAAACTGATTTCAAAGGACACAAATAAATTCCACAAGAGACAGTAAATTCACCAAATGTCACCCCATCAGAGAATATTTTTCAACTTCAATCTCAAGGCCGCTGCATGAAAAGACCCAGGAATTATGGAATCCATAAATCATGGAAGTACATGTTAACTCCGGAAACGCTTGGTCACCTTAACTTGCCCCCTTTCGTTTCTAAATTCGAAGATGAAGAAACGAAAAGTAATGGTTTCGTGACTTATTACGGAATGATTCGTGATGCGAGGATTACGTTTTGGCAAAGTGTCGGCAGCTGTGCAAGATGAGAGTTACAGATTACGTCGTTACCACAATGTTATTGCAGTTTCACACCTTCGGTCATGCAATTTAAACATCCGTCGTGCACTTGTGTGTCAACATTTTAATTGGTAGAAATCTTTATGTTTAAGTTTGCTGAGAGAATTTCCGAGAACTTTAACGTTTCAAAATAGCAAGTTATCTGAAGTAAGAGAATCCGTGGGAATTGGTAGAAATCTTTTTGTTGAAGTTTTCTGAGAGAGTTTCTGAGAACTTTTAAGTTTCAAAATAGTGAGTTATATAAAATAAAAGAATCCGTGTACTCAACCATTTATTTTCATTATAATTCATTCTCCACTGTAAAAAATATTACGGTATAAAGTATCGCCTTCTTATGGTGCATCATCCGTAAAATCCATTTTTACAGTAAAATTTAGGCAGTAAATTTTACAGTAATGATTTAATTAAAGTGATTCTGAGTGTCTGTACTATTCCTGAACTCCGATATTTTTTTACCTTAACTTGCTTCGGAATATCTTACATAACATTCTATTTTATTTGGGTTTTCGAATATTTCTTTACTTTTCCTCGCTCGAAAAAAAAAATTCTTATAAATCATTCTTACTCCACAAAACCACAATTTTGTCTCATGTTTGGAATATTTATAGAATTGCTTAGTTTGAAAAACAGATTGCAAGAAGAACTGGAAATTCTTCACTCTCTGGAATTTTATTTGCTCAGGAATTTCTAATAATAATTGCTCCCTATTTTATTTGGGTTTTCGAATTTTTCCTTGCTTTTCTTCGCTGGAAAAAAAAGATTCTTAAAAATCATTCTATGCTCCACAAAACATAATTTTGTCTGATATTTGGGATATTTAGAGTGTTGCTTAGTTTGAAAAACGGATTGCAAGTAGAACTACAAATTCATTATGAAAATAAAGAATTTTTAATTAAGTTTTATAATAATTTATCTCTGTAACATTTTTCTTGTAACTTGTAATTGTTCTTGTAATTTTAATTTCTAATTAGTTTTATTTTCTAATTAATTTTAGAATTTATAATTAATTGGTAGAAATCTTTCTGTTAAAGTTTCTATAGAGGATTTCTGAGAGCTTTTTTATTGCAAAACATTAAGATATGCAAAATAAAAGAATCCGTGTATTCAAACTATTCTTTTCGTTATAATAAATTCAACACTAAAAAATTCCAAATCAAATGACGGTATGAATTACCGGTACTTTGGGAGCATCATCCGTAGAACCAATTTTGCAGTAAAATCCATATTTACCGTAAATTATCATAACGTAATTTCCACAGCAATATTTCTGTAACTAGGGTGATTCAGTGATTTTAAGATAATTATTACTGTAAAAATTGCGGCACATCAGATTTTTTGCTCCTCATGTTTCGCCTAATGTTCCGTTGCAAGTACCGGCAGAAAGGGATTTTATGATAAAAAGTACGGTCACTCTGAGTGTCAGTACTTTTTACAGTTTTTTAAAGTAATAACTCTCTTTTTTATTGGAGTCTTCAAATTTTTTCAAGCTTTTCCTTGATCAAAACAAAAAAGAAAAATGATTCCTATAAATCACTTTACGCTTCACAAAACCACAATTTTGTCTGATATTTGGAATAGTTAGAGAGTTGCTTAGTTTGGAAAATGAGTTGCAAATAGAACTAGAAGTACTTTGTGAAAATAAAGAATCTCTAATTAATTTTAATTGTAATTAAATTTAATTCCAATTAATTTTAATTCTAATTAAATTTAATTCCAATTAATTTTAATTTATAATAATTTTAGTTTTTAATTCGTTTTAATTAACAATTTACTTGTTTTATATTGTATAATTAACAATTACAACTTTATAATCAAGTGGTAGAAGTTTTTATATTTAGGTTCCTATTGTGGATTTCCGGGAACTTTTATATTGCAAAATAGAAAGATATACAAAATAAAAGTATCGTGTATTCAACATATTCTTCTCGCAATAATGATTTGAAACTGTAAAAAAATTCAGAATTAAATTATGGTATAAAGTACTAGCAGTTTCGGTACATCCTTCGTAAAATCAGTATTACCTTAAAATCCATTTTTACCATAAATAATATACCATAAAGTTTACAGTAATATTTATTTACTTAGGACAGTAAATAAATACAATTCAGGAATTTTGCGGTAATTATTACTGTGAAAATTAAAATATGAAGTATTACTGTGAAAATTAAAATATATATGTTTTCAGAAAGCTCTATAGTTTTTCACATCAATTAATATTGCGAAATAAAACTGTTAATTTTATCTTTACAGTGCAACATTTCAATAAAAATAATATAAAATTCGTAGTTAATTTTATATTTATTTTTGTGTCACAAATTACTATTATTTATATCCAAAAAATATCTCCAAATTATAATAATAAAAATAGCATGTATGTGAATTTTCTAAATTAAATATTTTTTTAATATCATTTTTCATAATAATAAGATATCGTTATATATAATATATTATTATAAAAAATAAGAACTAAAACTTTTATTGAATCAACAAAACTCAAATATGAAATAAATACATCTTTAGATATTTTATTTTCAAGCGAAAGTAACTTCAGTGATATTACCATAGCAATTTTCATAAATAATAACAAAGTTCTGAGAAATTTTCTTAAAAGAACACACACTGAATTTTTTCATTTAAACAAAACGAAACTTGTAAATGTAACTTGTTTGTAAAAATAGATTCAATTTTTTAACATAGATCCTAGATTTAAAATATGTTGAGGCTACTTTGTTCCAATCGTTAAGCTTGTATTTAAGCAACAATAATTTGCAAAAAAAAGTTATAATTTTCTTAGACTACACCGAGAAAAAAATATGGTCAACACGATCATGTTCTGATAAAATGTACAGTGTTGGGAACACCAGAAAGGTCTGTAATTTTTACAGAATTTCATGGGCAATTGGAGACTATCAATTGAATATAGTTTAACGATAATTTTTTCTAAATTTTGTAATTTTATCATGATAACTGGTGGCATCAGAGTCATAAATTTTTTTTATATATTTTAAAAAATTATTTAATATTTCTGCAAAAAAGAAGAAGAAAGAAAAAGAAAATTTATTTTGTGTAGTTTTATTTAAGCTTAAAATGTTTTTATACGAATGCGTGTGTTCTACGTGTACATAAAAATAAATAGTTTTTTTTGTATTTATGAAAATAATTAACCTGAAACTGAAAAAAATAGTTTTTGATTTGACTTTGATCAGAAAACCTTTTCCTTGAAATTTATAAATTTCTGTCAAAATTAACCTAGATTATTAACTGATATGATTGGTATGATATATGAAAATAACGAAGAGTTGTAAAATATGAGGCACACTTTAAGCAAACTGTGACAAAAATACGTATATGCTAAAGCAAATTTACTATGCAACCACTAAACTCGGCAAGAAAAATAAAATATATATCTACATATTATTTCCATTTTAAATTACAACTTAAAGCTCATAAAATTATTTTATTTAATTCCTTAAACTTAATAAAATATTTTCTACGAATAAATAAATACTCATATTTCACTTTTGCTTATTTTAAATATAAAATGCTATCACCATTGCTTTGCTTAAATATAAAATTTCTAATAGACTGAAATAACTAGAACTTGTGATTTATAATGAAAGATATATATTAAATGAGTTTTATGACATATGAATACGATTGCAAAATTATTCGTTTTGAATAAAATGAATCTTTCATATGAGTTTTGTCGTGTATTTTTATTTTTAAGTCCAAAAAAAATTATAACCTAATAAAGAAACAGAAATAAATTATTTTTTATTAAACTATGCTAATTTCTTTCTGGATCACGTTATAAAATGTCACATTTATGGTGAAATCAGAAGCTTAAGTAGTAAATTTGTTATAGCTGACACTACTAACTAGCTTCAAAAACCAAGCAATCAACCTAGTTCAATTTATCAGTCGCTGACCTTTTCACTCCTAAACAATGGTCTCGTAAAACATGTTGCCCAAAATAAACGTTCTATTATAAATCTTCAATTTTAAACTTATTCTCGATTGTCTTGAACTTGTAACAATATTCAAATCCGCAGCAATTGTCACTTTTAAAGTACAGCTTTGAAACTTTCACCTTTAACTGTCTTTATTCCATTTGAAAATAATTCTTCCAAGAAAAATGTGAGAACAGAGCACTTTAATAGTGTAATTTACTGTCTGACGCACGTGACGTCATCAATCTGATGATAATATTGCATAAAAGCGTCCATTGTGAAGGATACAATGAGGTCTTTTAGAGCTATAAGCGTCTTTGTCACCGTTACTGTCACATGCGACACCTTTCTCAATGTTTATTTTACGCATATAAACTACTTAATCTTTGGTATTATAAGATATTCGTTACACCTTTCAACTTTCTAGTAAATACTGTGATTTAATCATCAAAGAAAAGCAACAAAAAAGTTTGTTTTTTGGATATTTAATCCTAGAAATTTAATTTCTACACCATATCAAAAGTTCGGTTGTATTTTCATTTAAAATGAAAAAAAAAAGTTTTATTATGTCCTTAAATTAAAACAATAATAATCATGGCAAAATCATCACTAATTAAACAACATTAATTTATAATGTAAGGTAACAATGTATATTTTTATTTAAAATTCCGTGGTAAATATTTTTTATATTTTTAATAGAAATTTGCTTTTTGGGCATCTAATCCTAGAAATTTAATTGCTATACCATATCAAAAGTTCGGTTGTATTTTCATCTAAAATGAAAAAAATGTGATATTAAGTTCTTAAATTAAAACAATAATATTCATGGCAAAATCATCACTAATTAAACAGCATTAATTTATAATGTAAGATAATAATGCATATTTTTATTTAAAATTCCTAGGTAAATATTTTTTATAGTTTCGCAATCTGAAGGGAAAAACGATTGATCAAAAATAACATTCCTGAGTAGAAGTAAAATAAAATAATTACAGATATCACTTAAAGCCTAATGATTGAATTTCACACACTAAATACGTATGTAATTAAATATACTTAAAAAAAGCATTATTTATATTTAAGGCATTATTCAACTGATTTGTTCTAAATTATAACAATAATGTCTATAGTCCTAACGTTATTAGGAAAAAGAAGAAATTAATCTCTAATTTTTCAATTATTATCAATAAGAGAAATTTATCTTTTTTTATTTATTTTAGTATTTATTTATTTAGTTTTTTTTGTGCATAAAATTCATTTTTAAAAATTCATTTTTATAATTAATTTTATAATCGTTACAATTATTTTTATAATCATTTTTATAAAATTCATTTTTATAAATGAGCAAAATTACTTGGCTTCACATAATTGGCTCGAATGAAATTGTAAAATATTAAGAAGTTAAGTATCACATTACAAGCTTAGTTCAACCCGATTTGTTAATTAAGTTCTTGGTACCACATTCTTTGGATAGATTTACATTTAAGATCAAAAATCTAAATCTGCGAAAAAGATTTATTAAGAAAAATAGGTCCTTGTGACCTGCTTCAGTAACTTAATCGAAAGATAACATTCAAACATTAAATTACTTTATTATTTCAGAAATTAAATTCCTACTAACAAGCATTTGGTAAAAAAATATCTAGGTAGAAATAAGAAATAAATAAAATACATATTAAAGAAGGATGAACTTTTTCTATTAAATAGTTTATTGAGGTCATCAGCACTGGTTATATTTAGCCTCTTTAATCTTTGCGATGCATTTCAGATAAATACTAAGAGAAATTCCTTTTAAGATAGAACATGAAACTAATCTAGTATTATTACGAAGATCTTCCAATTTTTGGTAAGGGATACTCAATGTTCACAGGTCAAGTTCAAATGATAAACACAATCGTGTGTTTTATTTCGCCTACCTTAGTTACGACCTACGCACCCTAGTTTCTTGAATTTATTTTGGCGTTGAGGCTTCCACGGGTACTTCTATTTATTACGAACAAAACGTAGTAACTTTTTTTAAAGAAAATTTAAGTTTTATAATAAGTTAGTTGCACTGTTTTAGCCCATTCTACACAAAAATATTTCCTTAACTGTTATTTCTTCCTCTGTAAATACTAGTGACTTATACGCAGAGACCATAACATTTTTCAAAGACCACCGAAAAATGTAGCTAAATATTTACGCAATTATCCCCACCTATAATCAGTTTTTTGAAGAAATGCAAACATGAGTAAGGTCACGAATCTCTCTCTTCTAGAGATAAGCAACACAAGGAATAGCACTTTCTTAAACCTGTGATAAGTTCACGATATAATAATGATAAATTAGCACCTCTTCGGAATTATGTGCTTCAAGTGTTAAGATAAAAAATTTTTTCTCCTACCTCAATTACTTTAAAATTAATTTTCAGAAATTTAAGTAACTAGCCTAAGCATCTCGAAATTGATTAAAGGATACGGTTAGTGTAAAATGCTTAATAGTAACAATTTTGAACAAAATTTATCCTCATTAATTTTTTAAAGCTTAAATTTTTTCGAATAAAAATTATGTTTGAGTGGATGAAAGTTTCAAGTAAATTTTAGTAGATTAACTTTAAAGTTAATCTGTTGACGATAGAAAAGATTATTATGCTTTGTCTTTATTTTCTCTCCGTTGCTCTACCAATTGTATAAAATATAAAATCTTTATACTGGCTACACACTGAAGAGGCAAGCAATAAGAAAGAGGCATACAGGTGATAAATTTCTATACTTATGTAAGTAAGGATGCGCAGAGTTGATGTGCGCATTCTAATGCAAAAGTATGGGAAGCTGCCTCTCGTATGTCTATTACTTTACGCTTGTATCCTCAGTGTGCCGTTTGCTTTACTTTTATTGAAACTGTTCGAATCCCAGGGCATCTTGGCCTTTTAATTTGGTTCCAATAACAAAGATTTTAAAGGAAAAGGTACAGTCTGTTCATATTCCAATCAATAAGATTTGAAAATTTTCTTCTTTTAGTATCCAGAAGCACGAAGGTTCTCAGAATTTAATAACTATGCAAAAGCAACGAATGCTATATGCTTGTATAAGACTAGAATAAGATTTGCTCAATAATGCTTTTCCTAAAAAAAAACATCTTCCAACAAGTTTCTAATTTGAGACATTAGCACTGTATTTCACATGAATGTAGTGTGCTGTAATTGCATAATTGGAATTTCTTTTTTCTCGTTCTAATGCCCTCCCCACCTGTATTGACATTCGATAATTTAGGCGTATAAGGACAGATTTGTTAGCCACTCTTTCAGGGACACCATATTAAGTGGGCCACCGTTGCTCCCACAATAAGGACAGATAATACAGAGAATGAAAGAACAGCCATGGCTTGTCCGGGATTCGAACCCAGAACCTTTCTGATGCAAGACCAGTTCCCTGACCCCTACACAGTCATGTCGGCTCATAAATGGAATATTGAATTTACCTTTTTCCGGCAACAGTTCCATCATTCTTGCCCAAAGGATCATCTAGTTCTACCCCAGCCCATTCTCCAGCTGCAAACTCTGTATGTCCAATATACCGGAGATATCCAGTTTTGGGTAGACCAGTTGAACTGGAAATAGTCACTCTATCACCTTCCCTCAAGTTTCTAGCTCCGGGTGATGGTGTTCTGGTTGGTGTGAGACATCTTTGAATGGGTGGTGGCGTTGGTGAATCACACATCATTTTGCCAGATGGTGAAGTGGCGTGAACCAATGGATATCTGGTTAGTTTGTGTGGTCTTGCAAAAACTCCACGTTTTGTTTCACACTGAAAGTATCGAACCCCCGCAACGGAGCCATCGTTTTTACCTGAATGGTCATCGAGTACCACTCCGGCCCAATCACCGGGGGAGAACTGTACCTCACCTAGGTACTGGATGTAGCCTGGTTTTGTACCATTCACCCAAACTCGATCACCAATGATGAAATCATCTACGTTTTCTGTGAGGATTATATCTGAATCTGAAAAGAGTATAAAAAAAACATGTTGTTATTAACTAGTATTGTTTTGAAAAAAATTAAGATTGCATAGTAACTCACATATAAACATAAATTTTTAATTTGTTAACACAAAATAAAAAATTTAAACTACTCTCATTGGTGTAATTCTCTGATTTCTAAAATACTTTACCAACTTTAAACAATCTCTTTAAACAACACTCTTTAATAAAACATTTTGGGATATAATTTTTCAGATTCACCATACTTAAATAATCAAAAATTTCAATCAATTGCATGAAATGTAAGTTTGTTCAGAGAATGTAGGTCTCTCCGTCTAATTCCGTAGTTCAATTAATAGTTAGAGCTAACTAATAAGCATAATCCTTCGAGCAATTAAGACTAGCTGGTATGGTATGTGAAAATCATACCATAAGATCAAAAGTAATTCAGAGTAACGTCTTTCTTGGTCTTTTTTAACTCACCATCTGTACAATTTAATTTTTATTTGTCTGTACCACAAATGATTGATAAAATCGATATAAATGCATAAAAAGTTCTTAATTCGTTATAACTCTGAAATAAGTTTAAAAGAGTTATGTGATAATATTTAGCAGTTGATTTTCCTTAAAGGCGAGAACGTTGCGTACAAAACGAAAGAAAAAAGAAGCATACATATTCAAGTAAACAGACTGACATTTATATTACTAACACCTTTTGTTGTTTTATTTTAATACTAGTATTAACATCATAAGAACAAATATGACATAACATCAAAAAAGAGAAAGAAAAAAAAACTGAAATATTCATCAGAAATGGGCGTGGTTCACATTGGTGAAATATATTTCATTTAATGCATTACTTCTCCTATTTGGGTCGAGGGCGACCAAACAGTAAAATTCACTATCATTACCTCTGTCTTATTATCGAAGAATTTCTATAGTTTTGCGTGCTGTTTTATTGCACCATAAAGAATTACTTAGTTCCTACCAAAACTTTGAAGTATTTGCATAAAATTAGTAACCGTTAGAGTAATTCCGACAAAGAGCTAATCCGACTAATGTAATCTTTTTATCTTACATCAGGCTTTCTATTTAATTGGCCTTTCACATCAACAAATTACCCCTAAATTGTTTAAAATTAGTAAAAAACAAACTGGTTAATTGGGTGATTTATTAGCTAATTTATGTGATTTGCATATCCTGCATAATGAATACCCTATTTCTGTTCATGAGAAATGTAGAAACTTAATGAGTTTAGTTAGCAGATAGTTTATTCATGCATCAGTTTAAATGTCTTAGAAGTTACTATTATTATTTGACAAAGTACTACTAGATTTGAGCGCATTTTAAACAATGAATCTAAGAAAAAAAATCTTAGCTACTAATTGCAATTAAATTCTTTGTCAGTTCGCTTATTAATTTCTCATAAGTACTGAATATAATTTATGGCAAATTGCAGATCAAGATTTCTTGTATTGTTTCCTTTGTAAATGTAATCTACTGTATTCTAATAGAGCAATACTTTAAAGTTATTATTTTGGCAAAATAAATGTGTGGGAAGTGTAGTTTGAATCCTCCGGTGACTTTTTCTTTTCTAGAAGAAGACTTAGATATTGGATTAAAGTAATTAAATAATGTTTCTAAGCCGTCCAAGGCCGGAAATTGTCAGGAACTAACAAGGTTGATATTGCATATTGACCCGCGGTGGCCCAACCAAGGTAAAAAGGCACAACTTTAAATCTAAAGCAAAATTTCGGAAATACAAATTTTTAATAAAATTAAAATATTATTTTCTTTTTTTTTTCAAATTCCATTTCCTCTTTGAAAACAAAATACGTAATGCAAATTGCCGAAATCTTTGTTCTAGGCCTTTCTTTTCAGTTGAATACGGACTTAATTTTCACCTTAACTTTTCCAGGTTGCAAGCTTTTTCCTATCTTTAATTAAGAGCTTCAGCAATTGAAAACGCATGCAGACATTTTAGAGCCATTAGAAACGAATGAAGATAAAGTAATTGTTGATAGTTAAGCATACAGGGTGATAATAATATTTGTTGATAGTTGTACGTAGAGAGTGTTCAAAACAAACTGAAGGTTTTTTTTAAAAAAATGTTTACCAGGGAAACGGTTAAGGTAAAATAAACAGTAATTGCTGAAAATTCATAGACAAATTTCATTTCCTGAACGGGAATAAATTTTATTTCCCGAATTCTGATTTTAGTTCAAAAAATCTTCGACAGATAGCGCTATAACTTCCCTCTACTATTCTTTCCGTTACGTTAGTTGATTGCAGTTGTGGCTAACGATGGACATTTCAAAAATATAGTCATAAGACATATATTCATACGGAATTTCGAATATTTGCAAGTTATTTTTCTTCGATTTAAAGATTTTCCTACTTGTGTCAATTTTTTTCTCTACTAAAATCAAAAACTCTGAAAATATTATTTCTGATCTATTACAATTACTGTTTATGAACCTTAACCGTTTCCCCGTTATAAATTTTTGAATTCTGTCAGTTTAATTTAATGCAACCTGTAATGGCATATTTAACATACGGATTTTTTCTCTTAATTTTTTTCTTGACAACTATTTCTTTTATCTTCAACAGCCTGTCAAGTGGCTAAACTTACTGAAAGATGTTGTTCGAACCTTTTCACTTCGAATTTCTACTTTAAAATATTCATTATTGTTAGATCTTTTTTTTTGTTGCATTTTTTGTTACATTATCTGACAATCTTTGTCATAGTATTGAAAGTTTTCTTTTCTTAAGCGATAAATAAGACAGGGCTGGTTTCGGAATTCAATTTTAGTCCTGTAATCGTGCCTAAGACTCTGACAAATTCAACACGCTCAACCGATTTTATTCTAGATGGCAACAGCAATAAAGTAGAAATCTATGGGTATGCGAGAAGCAAAAAATTTTGTCTTCAGCAGGCACCCAATTAAAATTATTATCAGAACCAGACTGCATTTCCTAGTAATTAAATGATTAGTAACCATGATTTAAAATTAGCTGCTAAAAATTATTACGCGACTGTCTGATTTCTTCTTCTAATCATGTTTCATTTCATAAAGCTTTGGAATTTTTCGCTAATGTTGGGTGCGAAATAATTACCATAAAACTCATTCAACAAAGGAACCATAAAATTTGCGTTGGTTTATTACATATTCATATTTTTATTGACCTTCAAAATCGGTGCTTGAAAAATGGAAAAATTAGCAAGTAATTGTTTTTGGTTCTACCTCATCGCTCACATTTGCATAAAAGAAAACATAAATACTAAAATAATGAGCTGGACAGTGAGGAATAGAAAACTGGGAATACAGCCAAATACTCATGTCAGTTAGGCGTAAAAAAATGACTTACATAATTAAATTAACACAATACTTTCTACTTTATTCTGTTTACTTCATTTATTCATTTAAATTTTACAATAATTTTTAGTTTTAACACTAGCATTTTTTAGTAAAAAAAAGCTAATAGAAAGTTAAATTTTTTTTAAATTAATATTAAAATAGATCATATTTTAATTTGTATTTAAATGAAACTATGATATACGATAGACTTAAAATAAATCTGAAAGGAAAGATAAAGCTAAAGCAAAGTTTTGATGGATAACTTTGCATACTTTATACAAAATACTTTGCTTACTTTAAAAATATTTTAATGCTAATAATTTCTTTAACATTATTGATTCACAATCTTAAATTCTGAAAGCAATAACTAAATGTGTAGTTCTTATTATCACACGTTTAGAAAAAAATACAAACCTGAAAAAGTAAATTTCGCCGAATAAATGTCTTTATGCCATGGTCTAAGGTGTATTGGTAAAGTTACCAAATTTCACCACATTTATCAAATTTTATTATGTATTATAAAACCATATTTTAGAGTAATTTTACTAAAATCATTACCAACGAGCTTTGATAAAAAAATACCGAACTTTTATGTGTTTTCTTTGAGAAAAAACATGACAAATTTTACCATATTGTGGTAGTTTTAACAGTACATTTTTTCTCAGTGTACTGATTACCATTTTTTCTATTATTATTGTATTGACGAATCGAATTAACATTCTTTGCTTTCACCAGTGATTATACTCCGTTATTAAAGGACATCTAATAACTGAGCAGTTTTCCCTGGACCACGGGACTGTATCATCAAGAACCGGTTGTAGTAAAAACCACCGGGTTGTTGTATTAAAAAATATGTATATTTATAAACAGTTTTCTACTTAATATTTAACGATATGGCTAATATGTCACGATATAACCATGATATTATTGATTTTTTTTGTTATTATATTGGAGACAATTCTGTACATGATATGGCTAATATATCATAATATAATCATAATAGTATTGTAAACCAAAAAAATATTTAAAAAAAAATAAAATATCAAAATGACATTGCCGAAAATAATTAAGTGGTTTCTATAAAAAGAACTTGAGTAACGAAAACCTTACACATTTTGCCAAGCATTTGAAGTGATAGAGTTCTCTAAATAAGAAAGTATTTACATTTTTTAAACTATAAAAGACCAGTTACGTTCCCAAATTGTAAACAAAATCAAATACGTTAAAAAAAAGAAAATAAAGATATGTTTAAACGATTTGATTCCTTCTATTAAATAAGTTATATTTAAAAATGAATTCTAGAATTCTGTAAAATCAAGAACGAAAACATCATTTATACAAAATGGAAAGTAAGTAAATCTTGAGCACAACCAGCGACTGTAAACTGAAGCAAGAATCACGTTCAGTTCATTTTCAAAATAAAATTAATATTATTTTAAGAAAAATGAAATACAATCCATTTATCTTATTAAATGCATTTGTACTTTTTAAAATTCTGTAAATCATTATATTCTAATCACAAATATTGTAGCAAATATGATTTATCTCAACTTAACAATATAATTCGTGTATTTTTCATTTATAAAAGTTTATTTACTTCTTTTATTAATATTTATGAAGGGACTAACGACTAAAAATTTTTAAAGTTGTATAAAAACCATAGAAACGAACCCTAAAAGATTTAGTGCCGCTATTTATATTGACATAATTATTACAAAATTTCAAAATATTGATTGGATTGCCATTCAATGAAATAAAATAAAAACTAAAGGCGAAAAACTCGTTTCGGACTTCAAATCTTGCAGAAATAATTGACAGCTCATCATCGTATGCCAATTGAAAAAAAAAAATTTTATTCAATTTTTAATTAATTTCTACGCAGTGAGTATGAAAGTTCGAATGACATCCTGAGAACCTGTCCAACTTATCTCTCCTTACAAGACACAGCATCCCTTTTTACAAACAGAGCCCTCCGGCTTCCGCTAAACAGAAGGGATTGCTTACTATCTTAGTCAGTGATTCCAAAAAAGGACTAAAAAAGAATCTAAGCAACTGTGACGTAACATATTCGCCCTTTCTTCTTCACTCGCCAGACGCTGAAAAAGAAGCATTTTTCTTTGGTTTTTCTTTAAGAATTGCGGTGTATACGTGAGGCACCTAAGGGTTGGACCGAGTTTCGCCCTGGCTGTGCTTTGTTTTTAATTGCATCTTTCATAACTTTTGGCTTTTCATAAGCATCGTTATCCTTTTTTTTTTCTTTTCTTATTTGGTGAATTTTGACCCAAACGCCTTAACGATATCAAGAATTTACTTTATCTTTATTGATATCTTTATTACTGGAAAATAAGCATTATTTTATGTTATTTTGTTTGTCCAATTGTACTTAGAATAAATATTTTAATATGAGAATTAATATCGACATCAGACGACAAATAATATGATAATGATATGACACTATATCAAGTGAAAAATTAGCCTTTCAAATGTGTGAATGGTATCTATGGGTATACTTCGATGTATAATTGAATCGAAAACATTGCGTTTATGATCAAGGAATCCTCTATTGTTATTAATAGCTAATAAGCACTCTTATATATATATATTATTTTGTTTCTCTAATTGTAGTTATAATTAGCATTTTATTATAATAATTATGATCGATATCAAAAGGCAAATAATAGGATAATGATGTGACACTATATCAGGTGAAAGATCGACCTTTCAAATGTGTGAATGATATCTATGGAAATATTTCGATTTATAATTGAATTGAAAACATTGTGTTTATGATCAAGGATTCCTCTATCTTCATCAATAGCAAATAAGCACTCATTTATATTATTTTGTTTTTCGAATTGTAGTTATAATTAGTATTTTAATGCAATAACTATGATCGATATCAAAAGGTAAATAATAGGATAATGATGTGACATTATATCGGGTAAAAATATGCACCGTTCCGTTGCCTGAATGATATCTATGGAAATATTTCGTTTTATACTTGAATCAAAAACATAGTGTTTATGATCAAGGATTTTTCTATATTTACTACAGTTATAATTAGCTTCTTAATATAATAATTCATGTTGATATCAAAAACCAAATAATAGGGTAATGATGTGACACTATATCAGGTAAAAATATGCTCTTTTCAAATGTGTGAATGATATTTAGGAAAATACTTCAGTTATTAATTGCTTTAGAAACGTTGGTTTTATTTTGTCAAAGCTTCTTTCAATTTAAATTATTTATTGAAAAGTTTTAATTATTTGTAAATTGAAGTTAAAATGAAAATTTAAAAAAATCATATTTGAATAAACTGATGCCAGACAGTGAAAGATGTGCGTAGATTCTTAAAATAAATCTCTATCAGAAAGAAATCTTGCTTTTATTAAACCAACGAAGAATATGTGTATATATAAACTTTTCTTGAAACAAGAATAATATGTGAATTTTGCTTCTAAGCATTTATAAGAATTATCTAAATAGACAACTGTTTCTATTACAGAAAAGAAAAATAGTAAATGCTTAAACAATAATATCAATGATTAATATCAAAAACTTGTTTTTTGTGATTTTCGAAAAAACGTCCAAAGTGTTTAGGACTATTTTTTTTAAACTAAATGCCAATTTAACGTGACAAATTAAACTAAATATTTTGAAAATTTTAGCACTATTAATTTAAAGCAAAACCCCATTTAATTCATAAAATATAGTATAATTTGAAACAAGTCTCTGAAATATTTCCGGGATCAGTTATAAGGAATAAAACATAGTAAATAAAGCAGATTTATTTTTTCAGATAATTAACAAATTAACAATGTTTTTAACAATAAAAGTTTTAAAAAATAACTTCACTTTTTAACTAGAAGAAATTTACTACTCAGATGAAAAGATTCTGGCATCTTGTAAATAAATTATACTTTTAGCATTATAAGTGTTAAAGAACCTGTTTTGTTTTTATGAACTCAAGACAAAGGGCAAAATGAACTCAACCACTTCTGTTTACAAAAACAAGTTTTTTTCTGACCCCAAGATGACCAACATCATTAGAAATAAACGAGATTAATTATTTAAAAGACAAATTATCACATCTGTAGCTTTATTATGTAATAGATTTTGTAAATAACTATTGCTATTTTTCAGAAAACTTGTTTTTATACCGACAACAAATTTGCTGTGAATTGAAAATAAAGTAAAAACAAGAATTTTCTGAATAAATGCAAGATGATTGAAAAAAAAAATAATAATACCAATAGTTATGCATATTATTTATGAAGTCTCTGGAGCAAAATTACCAACATATACTGTAAAAATTCCTAAACAAATTACGGTAAAAAGCAGCGGCACTCAGGGAGCCAATTCAAATCTGATATACTGTTTTTTTTTTCATTAAAATTTAGTGTAAAATCACTAAATCACTGTCATTAAGTAAATACCACTATAAAGTTTGCAGATTTATAATTTAAAATTATAGATTATAAATTTTTTAAATTTTGTGAAATATGCAGATTATAAATTTTACGATAAAATGGATTTTACGGATGCTGTACTCAGGGACCCATTTTTTTTTACCGTTATTTGATCCTAAAGTTTTGAGAATTATTATCTACCCAATTAAAAACCTTGAAGCATGTAAACCATCATTTCCTCCAAATTTGCCGTAGCTTTAATATTTGATAATAAAGCCCTAAATTGAAACCATATTATCATATTTCTTAAGATTTTTCACATGTTCCTATGGTTCAGTTAGAGCAGAAATATGATTTAATTATTCACTTAATAAAGGTTGTAACAAATTTGCACCGTTTAATACTTGTTTAATGCTGAACCATTCTTTGATAAATATTTCTTGATAAAATGACTAATTGCTCAAATCTTTAAAAACCTGTAGTGTGGGTCACTATAACAAAAGTATACATTGTTTAAAATTTTCTGATGAAACCATGTGGTATTTATCATACAGCGGTATATATCTTAATACCTAGTCACGATCCACCGAAAGACTCATTAATTTTACTTTAAGAAAAATCTTGTGGTTTTCAGTAAAAAACGGAAGTAGTTATTGACACAGATGTTTTTTAGTCTTCATTGATTAATGAATTTTCTTATATATAAAAAGACATATAGTGCCTAAAAGAAAATTTAATTGATAAAATATTAGACCATTAAAAATTTCTTTCATTAAATTATTGTTAAAGAAATGTTTATTATTAAAATATTTAAATTAAATGTATAACAAACAAAATTCCTATTTTTGAAAATACTTTTTAAAACTGCCAAACGGTGGAGATTTACACCTAAAAACAATGGAGCAATCAAAAGTAAAAGTAATTAAGTAAATGAAAAACCATTTCTACATATAACATGTAACATGTGCAGCTCGTCATATTTAATGATTAGTATTTTCGTTAAGAATATTATAAAGGATAACTATTATATAAATTGTATCAAATAAATTTTATCTTTTGTTTTAACATGTTTATAATCATCTACTGTATTTTACAAAGAAGCATAAATTATAAATGACGAATCAAATTTTAAAGTATAATTTTGAAAAGTCTTTCTCAGTTAAATAATTACCGCCATAATAGCAAATATTATTGACTAAACCACTCTTTTTAAATGAAAAAAAACTAGTCATAGGTCTAAAATAGTGTAATTTTTTTTAAATATAAATATGATAAAAATATATTTAATATCTTTAACAATTACTCAAAATAAATTAATAAATTTTGCATAGCATAATTATAATAGTTTGTTTTTGTAATTTGTTATATCACGAATATTTTTAGTATTGTATATTATTCCTATTTTAAAACTGGTTTTTACAATTATAAGCAGTTTTGCTAGGACTAATTTAAAAAAATACATTCTGAAAAAAAAAAGCAAATGAGCATACATTTTTATGCACCACACTTAAAAGTAGGTACTTATAAAATAATTTATAGGCACTTTATAAAATAGTTTATAGGTATTTTAAAAAATAACAAGTTACATAAATAAAATTGATTAATTAACTCAATTAACCTAAAAAAATCAGATTGTATGATAAAATTGGAATATAATGTATTAAAAGTACAGTTCTGTTTACAGTGTAAACAAAATATACAAATGATGAAACAAGATAAAAACAAAACAAATAATGTAAACAAATGTACCTCTGCTTTTCGGGCGATCCAAGTCCATGTCGGATGAAGGCATTTTTAGTTGTACTCTGTTTCTCAGGATAAAACTCTATTGAGACAAATCTTCGTAATCACGCCCTCTATCGGAAAGCGTAGGCGACACTTTTGGAAACAAATTTAGAAATCACCTGTTCTTTACGGGCTTCTTTGGCGACAAATTCTACTAATTCGTCTTTATTTGGTTCTTTATATCCTACGTAATGACTTGAGACAGATCTGGTTTTCCAAAAATATTCGTTGAAACGATGTGTTAATTCGAAGATTATACAAAAATAACTACTTTTTCGGTAATTTACTCGACGTTTGAAAGAAATAACGCACTGTAGGTTGCAGGTATAGTTCCGGTTTGCATTGGATAAGATTAAAAAAAAACTTGATAGTATCGAAGTGATGCGAAATAATTTGTTTCGAAAATAGATGACTAAGTGATGCTTGCGTGATAACGTCATAATCTAATTAACTGATTTTATCTTCGAATAAATTTAGTTGTCGGGTAAATGAGAGAACTGATTTCTCGAGATAATGGCTATATACGTAATAATACGTCCTTAAATGCCATTAAAATGTTGCATAATTTTTTAATGTTATTATTTTCTATGTAATTTAAAAGTTTTATTTATTGCAAACATGAAATTTGAAATATGTAAGTTTTTTTAAGGTTTGAAAATTGATTTTTTTAATGCTTTTTGTATAGTTTTTGTGTGTTTAACCCGTTGAATGTGTGTTTCGCAAGCGGGGCACGATGAATTTCTAATAATGGCAGCTGAAGGTTCAAGAAAACGTATTTTTAAAATATAGTTGTCTTCAAAAAATTTGTCAAAGTCTGTAAAAGTTATATGCTACTGAATACATTACGTATAGATATTATGGGACATTTAAATAATTTAAATTTAAAATTACAGGAAGATGATTGTACTTTTCCAATTATAACAAACCGTTCATTTTTTGTGAGCAAACAAATACTTTTTTATCTCAATTTTGAAGAAACAAAATAAACACTTTTTTAAGAGAAAGCCAAAATCAAATCAATAATACTCCAAATTATAATAGATTTATAAATTTAATATCCGAATTGTGATAATTTTCAACATGTTAAAAAAATGTTGATCTTGTTACAAATCATTTCTCAATTTATTTGCAAAGCATTAATTGTCAGCCATCAAAAATTCAAATCTAAATTGTTATATAGTTATTGTATCAGGATATTATTTCACCAGCAAATTATCCAGGTTATATAGAATTTTGAAAATTTGTACCAGCGAGCAATTTCCAGTTACAGCTGACAGATATTGTTGTAGGTTTGGATCAACATATATTTGTGTCTCTGTATACACAACATATACATATATTAATCCAAAGTATTGTTTAAGATTAGATGATATGGACCTAAAACACTTAATTTTCCTTCATCGCTAGTCAAGTAGAAATAACTGATAAATATTAATTCTAGTCATTATCAGTTAATTTACTTAACAATATTTCAAGAACCTGCAGTTAATGAATAAGGAAAAACTACGAACGCCATGTAAATCTTTCGATTTATTGATCGAACTTACATCTAATTGTAGATTGACTTCTCCCTGTCTTCTACCCATGACTTAGGTACAAATTAATATTTTTAATCTACATTTATTAAACTGAGAAAAATAACTTAAAAATCTAAAAAACGTTTAAAAATCTTATTATAATATACAAAGTAATTATGTTTTTTTTAAGTATAAAACTTGAAAAAAGTGTCTTTAATACTACCAGAATATGGTAATATTTACCACCCTTCTTTTTTTTTCCAAGGGCAGGCACTGAATTTGAATCTTTTGCCTAGACTATGCCAGAATTGTTGCTCATTTCGCGTTACCCAGTGGGCACCTGCGAACCAAAGTTACGGAGGCGAGCAGCATTGCCCACGCCACACTGCCACAAACCCGTTTATAGGGTGGGCCACATTCACACATCATACACATACACAACAGAGGACAGCACAAAGAGAGAGAGAGAGAAACATTCATGCCCAGAGCGGGATTCGAACCCGCAGCCTATGGATTCGCAGTCAGCCACGCTGACCGCTCGGCCACCTGGCCGGCTTACCGCTTTTCTAGATCTATGGAAACCCACGATAATTTTTATCGAAGCGCTATGTAATGATTTTGGTAAAATTAACAATAAAATATAGTTTTGTATTTCGTGATAAAATTTACTAGTGGTAATTAAATTTGGCAGTTTTATCATGATACTTTAGAACATGGCATAAGTGCTATTCATTCGGTTAAATTTACTTCTTAGTTTCGTATTTTTTACTGAATGGGAGGTAATAAGAATTATAATTTTGAAAACCAGAACATTCCATAAAAACGGAATTTTTTATTTTTTTTCCTTAAAAAAAAATATTATCATACAGACAAGTAATCTTAACAAAATCTTTTCTTCATGATTAAACAGGGGAAAAACGAGCTATAATATTATATTTTTCACAAATTTATTTATGTTATTTGTTGTGCGTTAAGGTAATAATCTAAAAATGCTTGCACCACAATAAGTGGATAAATAAAAAAATTAAAATAGCATCAGAAAAAGCACGAAGTCATTTTTTTAGATGGAAAGAACAGGTTTTAAAACAGGCAAAAGCCACAATAGGGATCCAATGATTCATTCGTTTTTATTTTTTAAAAATATGCATTTGTTTTGTTTTCTTCTTCTTCTCCTTCTTCTTCTTTTTAAAAAAAGTAAAAGATGTTTTGTTTTTACTTGTTTGAACCATTTCTTTTTATTGTTATTGCCACATATTAATTTCTACTCATGATATTTGTGCTTAATAATAATATATGAGGTAATGTGCTTAATAATAATATTAATAATAATAAAAATATACATACAATATTATTATTATTATAATACTGCACAACAATTCATGTATTTCTAAAATATGAGAAGATTTTTAAGATCTTTCGGTAATTTGTCATTTGTATTAGCAAGGCTATTTTGTCTGGGTAGAAAATGTAATACGAACCTATATCGATAAGTTGTGCCATTAGGGGGTGTTTGTAAGTTACATTAAGGTAAGGAGTGTGTACGATTAAATTACTGCTTAAGAATTGTAAATGAAATTATTTGTAAGTTTATGTAATTTATCCAATTTTATTTAGGATAATATGTAATAATTTGAAAATGTAAGAATACAAAGAAATAAAAATAATTGCAAGATGTAATTATTGTTTTTCTTTACTTAATTAGAAGTAATCAAATAATTGTTAGTCATATTATTGGAATTTTGAATAATTTTTAACACGATGAAAAATATTTATCATTCATTAAAATTTAAATTTTTCCCATATTCTATCGACAATGAAAAATAAATATTCTAGATTGTTGAACTTTTAGAATGTTCTAATTACATTATTCTTTATCTATTCATTTCGAATGTAAAATGAATATTTTAAAAATTACATATTTGAAACTCTCTCTCTGGGGAAACATTTTCAATAGGCTGTGCAATTAAGATTAAAAAAAATTTATGAGCTGGTAAAAAGCATAATAGCAAATTCAATTAAAAAAAAATTTAAAAGTTTAGTCATGATAGTTGATTGCCAGTATTTCATAATTCCTTCACAGATTAAAATTTAAATACATAATTCTGCATTTAAAGAAAAGTAGCTTAAATAGGGGAAATTTTCATCATGGAATTCGAAAGTAATTAATTTTTGTTTAATATTCTTAATGACTAGTAATCATTAACTATGTCATAATACTGAACTACATACAATTATCTATATGTGTTCGCGTAAAATGCTACTTTAAAAATAGGAACAACCATATAGAAAAAAATTTAAGAAGGCCTGTTGGTGCACATTTCGAAATTTAAATTTAGATTTTCCTTATTATCTTAAGGCTCTAAACTTCAGACTACCAATAAATCTATAAGTGATGCTCGAGCACGGACTTATATCTCAAACACGTTTCACAACACGTTGAACTTTACACAAGATCATACTGAAGAAGATCCTTCGACTCTTGAAGTTTTTGAACTGCTAACACTAGGCGACGATGACAATCTGGTCAAAATGAAGGTAAATACGAAGGCGGGTGGTCTTTGAACATTTCCTAATCACTATTACCTGGCCAGATTCGTAAATAAAACACTCAGGTGAAACTGGAGGAATGCAGCGAGATGGAGGAGTACAGCAAGGTCAACCAGTTCGCCCCCTTCATGGAAAGCCCACGTTTATTATTTTTTTTTTTCAAAAAGCAACCCACGTCTCAACAAAAAATACGCTTTTTGAATCAGTTTTTTTTTCGCTTGAAGATTGTTTCATGTATTCCTGATATATTATAAAAAAAATAATTATTAAATAGCTTTGTTTGTCCTTGCCAAACATCTTGTGAATGAGGTGATCGGTTTTTGTACGAGAATTGATATTATAGGCTATTAATATTCCGTGTAAATTTGTGTCTGATATCATTGATAGGTTAAAATGAATAAATGTATAATATTTTCGGATGTTATTTTTTTCATCGGTTAAGAAGTAAATGACTGGCGTGATAATAACTGACCTTTAGGTTTTTTTTTCCTTTTTTCTTTTTTTTTGTTGCTCGAGGAAACAAGATGCCTTAATTTTGATTGGGTAGAGTTTTTTTACTACAATTTCTATTCAGTTTTTCAGTAATAAGTTCGTTAAATTATAAGAGAATATTCAGTAAGGATCAATGAAAACTAAAGAATGCAGTGTTATATTATATATTAAATTAGTTCAAGTTTATGAACCACATCAAGTAATTGATGTTCTAGCTGGTCTTAAAAGTTTCTTAGTATCGCTAAATGTATTGTTTGTGATAAATTTATTTAGAGCATGGAATGTAAATAAAAGAAATAGGGTTTTAAAAATTAATATGATAAATTTTTTCGAATTACTCAAAACATCAATTAGTTATTGAAATTATTTAAATTTCTTCAAGATAATTTGTAAAAATTGTTGGAAACTGTAGATAGTTGTATTTTTGTCTTCTTTATTAAAATAAATTTTGCAGAAACATTTTTTTCTCTTAATCAAAACTCACCTAAATTTTGGACTGTATTAAGTTGATTTAATTTTCAGCATATATGCACACTCGAAACTGATCCTCGAACTGTCAGAAACTGAATTGATCTGGATAAAGGTTTAATTAACATTAATCGAAATTGAATTAATCTGCTATACACTATAGAAAATAAAGGATCAAATTACGATATAAAGTACCAGTTTTTCTGGTACATTATCCATGAAATCAATTTTACCAAAATTCATTTTTACAGTAAATTATTATACCGTAATTTTCACAGTAATATTTATTTAATTGGAGTGATTTTGTGGCAATTATTGCTGTTAACGATATATCAGATTTTTTGTTC